TTTGAATCTTGAACAAAAATCTGAAACAGAATCACACTGATTCTGTGGGTTTGGGAAACACTGAGTGAGAATCTGAGATCTGAGTTTTTTGTGCAAGGTTTAAGATGAATGGAGGCAGTAGTTTGAACACTAAACTTCCAGTTTTTGATGGCAAAAACTGGAACAGAAGGAAGATACAAATGCGTGTGTTGTTTGGTGCTCAGGATGTTCTGGACCTTATTTCTGAAGGTTATGTTCCAGTTGCAGCAGATGCTACTGAAGAACAAAAATCAGCAGAAAGAGCTACGAGGAAGAGGGATCAGAAAGCTCTATTCTATATCCATCAATGTATGGATGAAAGTGTGTTTGAGAAGATTGTTGATTCGACGACGTCGAAGGAAGCATGGGATATATTGGCCAGATGTTATGGTGGTGACATGTCAGTAAAGAAGGTAAAGCTTCAGTCCTTGCGAAAGCAATATGAAAATATCAACATGAAGAACAGTGAGAAAGTTTCTGAGTACATCTCCAGAATGATTCTGATCACTAATGAGATGAAAGCTTGTGGAGAAACACTTTTTGAACAGGTAATCATAGAAAATATTTTGAGGTCACTTACTCCTCAGTTTGATTACATTGTTGTTTCTATTGAACATTCTAAAAATCTGGAAACCATGAGAATAGAAGAGTTGCAAAACAGTCTAGAAGCGCAAGAGTTGCGTCTGACTGAAAGAACTTCTGAGAGGGAAGTAGAGCAAGCTCTGAAAGCTTCTTTTGTCAAGAAGGACCAGAAGCAGAATGGACATGGTGATAAATTCCAGAAGTCAGAAACCTCAACTTCTGATGAAAAGAAATATTAGAAGGGAAAGGAAAGGTATGACAGGAGAAGGTTTAATGTTACTGTTGTAAACAGTTTGGCCATTTTGCCAGAGATTGTAGAAATAGAGGAAGGAAATCAGAAGAAGCAAATATAGCCAGAGGAGATTCTGATGATGAACCTGTGCTACTGATGGCTTCTGATTCTGATGGAAACTGTTCAGAAGATTGGTGGTATATGGACACTGGCTGTTCAAACCACTTGACTGAGAACAAACAATGGTTGATAGACTTTGACTCCAGAAGGAGAATAAGGATCAGATGTGCTGATGATAAGTATCTTAATGCAGAAGGTATGGGAAATGTCAAAGTCAGAGTGAAGAATGGAAAGAACATTTTGATCAAAGATGTTTGGTATGTTCTTGGAATTAAAAGCAATCTGATGAGTGTAGGTCAGCTTATTGAGAAAGGTTTTTCAGTGGTTATGAAGGACAACCTCTTGACGTTGTATGATTCTAATCATAAGTTGATTATGAAGTCTAAGCAGGGAAGCAACAGAACATTCAAGGTGAATGTAGAAACAGCTGAAGTAGAGTGTCTTAGTGCAGAAGGCGCTGAAGGTGACAGTAAGTTGTGGCACAAGAGGTTGGGGCACTTGAACTATAGAAGCTTAGGGCATCTAAGTTCTAAGAAGCTCGTACATGGCATTTTGAAGATTGTGAAGCCTCAGAAGTCATGTGAGATATGCATGAAAGGCAAGCAACCCAGATTGCCATTTGCATCAGAAGTAGCCCCCGGAGTAAAGCATGCTCTGGGAGTAGTACATTATGATGTGTCTGGACCATTTCTAGTACCTTCACTTGGAGGAAACAAATATTTTGTGTCTTTTGTGGATGAGTTCACAAGAATGACATGGGTAAGCATGAAGTGTTTACTGAGTTCCAGAAGTTAAAGGTGAAGGCTGAGAAGTAGAGTGGTCAGAAGCTAAAGATTCTGAGAACAGATGGTGGAGGTGAGTATAACTCTACAGAGTTCCAGAAGTTCTGTGAGGAGAATGGAATAGAACATGAGGTTACTACTCCATATACTCCTCAGCACAACGGTCTTGCTGAAAGAAGAAACAGAACTTTGCTTGATATGACCAGAAGTATGCTGAAAGAGAAGAAGTTACCTCACATGTTATGGGGAGAAGCTGTTGCCACATCAACATATGTTCTGAATAGGTGTCCAACAAAGAAGCTGAAGGAAATTGTTCCTTTAGAAAAATGGACTAGAGACAAGCAAAGTGTTAGCCATCTGAAGGTGTTTGGTTCTGTATGCTACAAATACGTTCCAGAGGCTAGAAGACAAAAGCTGGATGGTAGAAGCAAAGTAATGTTACTGGTGGGGTACCACAGTACAGGTGCCTATAAGCTTTATTGTCCAGAAACCAACAAAGTTGAAATCAACAGAGATGTCATTGTGAAAGAGTCAGAAACATGGGATTGGAACAAGCTTCAATCAGATTCTGGTGTGGCGCCAACACCAGTGTTAGTTTCTGAAGATTCTTCAGAAAGTTCTGAAGATGAGTCAGAGTCAGAAGATGAAGACTCTGAAGATGAGTCAGAATCTCAGGGAGATTCTGATAGTAGATCTGATTTTGATCCAGATTCTGATGATGATCCAGAATCTGGTGGTGATTATACTTTTGGAAGGGAAAACTTTGAAGACATGGGGACTGGAGAAATTTTTTCCAGAAGTAACGCTGAAGGTGGTAATTCTGGACAAAGTCCAGAAGCTAGCATTGTTCCGAGTTCTGGAGAAGCTTCAGAACAAGATCAGAGGCCACAAAGAATCAGACGAATATCAAGTAGGTTTGCAGATTTTAGCATGTTGCATGATACTGAAGTAGATTCTGAAGGAGAAATCGTTCAGTGTGCCATGCTAGTAGATTCTGAACCAATGGGTATTGAAGAAGCTCTCAAGAAGAAAGTATGGCTGAATGCCATGAAAGAAGAACTTGAGGCTATTGAAAGAAACAAGACTTGGAAGCTGACAAAACTTCCAAAAGGCAAGAAAGCCATCAGCGTCAGATGGGTTTTCAAGCAGAAGCTAAAGCCAGATGGATCAATTGGCAAACACAAAGCGAGACTAGTGGCCAGAGTTTTTCTTCAGAAACCTGGACTATATTACTTTGAGGTGTTTGCGCCTGTAGCTAGACACGAAACAATCAGACTGGTGATTACTTTAGCTGCAAACAGAAATTGGCCTTTGATACATCTGGATGTGAAGTCTGCATTTCTGAACGGCCCATTACAGGAAGAAGTTTATGTGTCACAACCTCCTGGATTTGTGAAAAAGAATCAGGAAGGGATGGTATACAGGTTAAATAAAGCTCTGTATGGACTGAAGCAAGCGCCCAGAGCTTGGAATTTAAAGATTGATTCATTTTTCAAGGAACAAGGGTTTCAGAAGTGTGAGATGGAGTATGGTGTTTATGTTCAGCACACTTCATAAGGTAATATGATTCTGGTCTGTTTGTATGTTGATGACATATTACTCACAGGAAATTCTGAACAAGAGACAGTTGAGTTCAAGAAAGTTCTGATGAATGTGTTTGAGATGACAGATCTTGGAAAAATGAGTTTCTTTCTAGGGATGGAATTTATATACTCTGAAAAAGGAATCATTTTACATCAGAAGAAGTATGAACTAGAGCTTTTGAAGAGAATTGAGCTAGCAAATTGCAAGGTTGCTATCACACCTACTGATACAAATCAGAAGTTGGACTCTAATTCTGATGGAGAGGATGTGGATGCTACAACCTTCAAACTGATGGTTGGTTCTCTGAGATATTTGTGTAATACCAGACCTGATATTTGCTATGCAGTTGGAATGGTCAGCAGATACATGAGTAAACCAAAGTGGTCTCATTACCAAGCTGTTGTCAGGATTCTGAGGTATGTAAAAGGAACTCTGAAATATGGAGTGTTATTTCCTTCTGAAAAAAAGATTGAATCAGAACTTCTGAGTTATTCTGATTCTGATTGGTGTGGAGATAGAGTTGACTGAAGAAGTACTTCTGGGTACTTGTTCAAGTTCCTGGGAGCTCCAATTTCTTGGAGTTCCAAGAAACAACCTGTTGTGGCTTTGTCAACATGTGAAGCTGAATACATTGCAAGTGTTATAGCTGCATGTCAAGCTGTCTGACTTCTGAATCTTCTGGAGGATTTGAAGATTGAAATAAAGAAACCTCTGAAGCTGTTGATTGATAACAAGTCTGCAATCAATCTTGCCAAGAATCTAGTTCTACATGGAAGAAGCAAGCACATTGAGACGAAGTATCACTTTCTCAGAAGTCAAGTGCAGAAAGGAGTGTTAGAAGTTATGCACTGTAGCACTCAGAAGCAGCTGGCAGATGTTCTGACGAAGGCGATAAAAACAGACCAATTTCTTTGCTTGAGAGATGAAATTGGTGTTGTTAACTTCTAATATTTACTAAATTACGAGATGATATTAGAGAGTAATTTAATATTTTCCTTTTATTGGATATTCTCTTTAGGCCCCATGTGGCATCCTTATCTTTACTACTTTTGTGTATAAATAGATGTACTAGGTTTATATTTAATACAATCAATTCTCTTTAATCATTTGTGACAGCTTTATAGCATTTATTCATTTTCTCTCTTCTTCCTCAATTTCATCACCTTGCACCAACAAAACCTTCACCTTTATACATATTTTGTTAATACATACACTCATGTATAGTCCATTCATTCTCCAATAAAGTACTACTTTTATCACAACAAAATTTTTGAACCATAATAACACCAATTTTTCACACGGTGCATATAAACTCTCCCAAATCCAAAATTCTTAAGGTTTAGAAAAAACACTATTTATCAAAGTCTTGTTTTTGTTACAGTCAAAATACCAAGTCATCCTTATCACCATTACTTCCTTTCAAAGCAGCTACTTCAATTTTAATAAGTCAAACGTTAAACCTTCCAAATCTTTCAACATCATCATACCCGTAAATTAACTTCAAAACCACCATTGTTGTTTTTTCGTTTATTGTGTTTTGTTTCACAGAAATAATGCAAGAATGAAAGAAGAAAGAGAACGAAATGTCCGCAATAGCATATGTAATGGAAGTAGAGAAAATATAAAGTCAAAAGAAACAAGAAATATTGGATCGTGACGCAAACCACGAACAATTCCATAATCTACAGCGATCCATCATCCTCACTAACATCCTCCAACGCTCCAGCCAGCCACCGCTTTTGCAACCGCTCCCGTGACCACACTCCATCCATCACTGTGAACAAACCCAAGTCGGCGTCTCTGTAGATCTGTCGTTGATCCACCGCGGACACCCTCTCTCAACCATGAAAGTCGCAAGTTTCTCCAGATCCGTACGCACCGCGATGGCATTCCACTACATACTGCCCCTCTCTGGCACCCGCGCACCAACACAAGTGGTGTTGTCGCCGCTGAATCCGGGTCACCAAATCACCGGAACTGCGACTAAACACCCTCCCCATTCACGCCGGAATCTGCTCGAAACTGCATGACACCACGGAAGCCACGCGCAGATCTGAACCACCGCCGAAGTCAGGTTTTGTACCATCCTTTCCACTATGCATTTTACTTTGTTATTATCGATTTTGTTTGTTTCATTGTGAGTTATGGGAGTTTGAGAAAGAAAAGAGAGTGTGGAGAAAAATATGAGAAATACTTCATCGTGAGAGAGAGAGAGAGAGGTATTATTGTTTCTACCTTTACTCTATGTTCTGTAATATATACTGGTGTTTTTTTATTTTATATTTTCAATTCAGGGATGCCACTTGTCGAAATCCTATTGGCTAACTCAAAAATTGAGAAGTTAAAAGATTGTTAGAATGATAAAGAGGCGAACCGCCCCTCCTTATGTTGTAAGTCATTTTTTATTTTTTTTCTTCTTCTAATAATTAAAATCAGAATTAGATCTTGATTAATTCTTAGATTGGACTTTTGGGCTCATTGTTCCTAATCTTCAAGTTATCGTAGCACCCACTCTAACTTACACCCGCTTAGATTTACTTATTAACTAGTTTTTTCTAGTTTATTTAGGTTAATTAAATTTGTTAGTCAAATTAGTTTTTTTATGATTTAGTTAATTTAGATTAGTTAGTTTAATTATCTTTAACAATCAAACAAATTTCTTGAATAATTAATTTAAACATCTTATAAGTAATAGGATGTCCATCTTCGAATAATTAAATCAGTCGACACATCATCTACCGATTTATTATTCAAAATAAAATAATTTAAACCCGCGCAATTCATCAAATAATCCATTCGCGAATGACATGTGATCAATATCTGGCCACGTGACGAGGAGACTATATCAGGCTCCCCCGCTCCGCATCTTAATCAAATCAAATACCAAAACAGCTAACCAACATCAAAAATCTTTTTCTACTAACATAACAAAAACTTCAAGATCATTTTCAAAAAAGGATTAAATAGCATTATCTTCGAATCAAATTGCAAACTGCATCTACGATCACCCAATTTACAACCCAGACAATGTTCAAGGATAATTCAAAAGCAATTCTACACAATCTTATAAAAATCACCAACAAACCTGCAAACTACGAAATGTGACTCTGATTCCTCATAAGAGGATACGTAGGCATAGGATTAAAATCATGGCGAGTCTCCCTAATTAAAATTAAAACCCTTTTCCCCTAATAAACATAAAACCCTATTTCCTAAAATTTGCGCTTCTAACCCTAGTATCCTTGTGAACAAGGTAGATGAGGGGTGCCTAACACCTTCTCTTCGTCTAGAACCGAGTCCAAAAAACCTAGAATCTCTAACTTTTAGGGTTATCCTTTATATTCCCTTCCTTAGGATAAAAATTAAGGGTGACGACTCTGATTTAAAAACCAGTTGCAACACCTGGTAATCAGTAAGACTAAGGGAGAATGGGATACAAAATATCCAAATATCATTCCTTATCGGGAGCATGTGTTAGCCTTAATCCCGTACTTCGAAGAAATCACTTTTGAGCACATTCCACGAGAAGAGAATCAATTGGCAGACACATTGGCTACCATGTCATCTATGTTCAAAGTCAGATGGGACAACGAAGCCCTTCAAATTACTATTGAGAGACTAGACGAACCAGTACATTGCTACGAAGTTGACACTAATGGAGTAGAGGAAAAGCCTTGGTTTCATGAAGTGAAAAGATACCATGAAGCTCAAGAGTATCCTGAGGGGGCGTCTATTAATGATAAGAAATTCCTACGGAGGTTCTCTACCAAGTTCTTTCTGAGCAACGGAATTTTGTACAAGTGCAATCATGATTCAACTTTGCTTCGTTGTATGGACAAAAAGGTGTTATACCATAATTTTTACCCCTAAGATTCCTCTATCATCTCATATCAATCCAATCATATCAAGATCACACTAGGGTTGGTTATTCTCCCTGTCTTTAGGTTTGCTCATGAGGGACCACCAAGCACTTTAATTTGTACATTATGGTCATATTTGTCTTATGTTGAATAACTTTTAACTAACAAATATAATGAATGTTTGCTCTAAATGATGATACTATAGGTGAGGGCACAACACACTTCATCAGGTTGATTCATAGGTTCATGAGTTTATTTTCATGCCTTCTTCAACAAAGCTTCATTGAAATTTAAGCTTCACCATTGAGAGTGCTTTAAATAAATGTCATGACAAGGTCTACTACGATTCATCATGCTTCAATTGCCAAAGGAAGTCAAAAGATGCAAAATTTGATCAAAGAAGTTTGACCTAATTGGACAAGTTCTTGATTCTTTGATCACAAGTGCATAACTCCATCAATTCTTAACATTTGGAAGTTGTTATTGTTATTATAGGTTCTTATTATCATCCACAACAACATCTTTTCACATAGCAAAAGTATTTGTACAAGAAATATTTTCAAAATTGAAAGGGGTTCCCAAGCCATTTTGATGCTCTAGGAGTTAGGGTTTTGAACTTCTAATGGCTATATCTTGTCCACATTTTGATATTTTTGGGTGATTCCAAAGATATGCTTCACCTTAAAGGGTTATCAACAAATCACTTCAAAAGTTTCAAGCAAATTTTGTATGAAAGATCACTAATGGTTAAGAAAGATTACAAGTCCTCTAGATAGGCCATCAAATTCCCTTATGTCACTTCAAAAAGTCATAACTTGATCAATTTTTATCTCCTTGAGTCCATTATTTTTCCACAATGACCTTAAGAGTGAAATTTAACTCTTATTTTATGTGCAAAACTTGAAAATGGTTAGAAGATTCCTTAAAAGCTCAAAAGATTATAGGTCACCTTATGGATTTTTATCAAATTCAAAGGATCATAACTTGTCCAATATGTGGAAGTTTTTAGTGATACAAGTTTCACAATACTCTTTAAGAAGTCCACTTCAAGCTAGCGTCATTGATCAAAGCAAAATGTTTGAGTAAGACCTTTTTTGGAGTCAAAACAATTTGGGTCATTTTTGAAGAAAAACTTAGAATTTTTTCTAAGTATAAAAGTCAGCACCTTTTTCTGATTTTTGACCAAGCACAACTTCTAGCTCAAGTATCAAAATGATCCCATTCTTGGAACATTATAAATAATGTTACCTCAACTTTCCAATGCATCAAGAATCCGGTCCTAGGGTTCCCTAAATCATGCACACCATGAGTTCAAAGTCAGCTACTTGAAATTGAATTTTCCTTCCAAGTCAGAATTTGAAATCCATATTTTGCCTTCTAAAACAAAGTTTTCACGCGTTTTTTCTTCTAATCATGTTTAGCAACTTTCCAAAAGCATTTAGCATCATGAAATGCAGGTTTTGGCTGAGTTTTAATGCTAAGAAAGTCACACATTGCTCATGTTTCAGACTCACATGAATTCACTCAATTACTCTCCCATTAGCATGCTTAAGCATTGCCTCATCCTCTCCTATAAATAAGATGCACATTCCACCTATTTCCACAAGCTTTTGATAGCCAATTGACCTCTGCCAAGATCTCATTTGAACTCTTAAGGCTTGAATTTGTTTTCTTATTTCCACTCTCCAAATCACCAAAAGCTTCATCCAGTTAGCTCCATTAAACTTCTCTGAAGCTAACCATACTCTTACCTTTAAGAATCGTGACCTATTTTGAGCTACAGAAGTCCAGTTTCGGTGCAACTTTCTGCTACTTCGTTCATGTAGATTTCTTAGTCAAATCAATCCTAATAAAAGACTAATCTACTCTCCTCATCCTTCTGATTCTCATGCTTCTTACAATTTGTGATTTCATTAAGATTTGAGTGAGATATTCCAGAACTTCGTGCTCGCTATTATTTCTGATTTTTTTCAAATCAAGCCTTGCTCAGTTTATTTAAATTTGGTGCGAGGGTACCATTAGAATCGTCTTGAAGAGACAAATCTAATGGCACTGGTTTGGTTGGCTAATTTTACAGTTTGTGGAACTCCAATCTAGGGCGTCCGGAGGTTGAAGACAATCTATGTGTTGTGCTTCAACCAATGATGGCGTGACATATATTTTTTTTAAAATCCTATCCGGTGTGTTTTCTTTATCATACGCGTGTTTTGAGAGCCCTTGGATCTGATTACTTCCATTAGTCAGACTCCATCCAACGCGTCAGATTTTTAGTTGTTTTTAATTATTAAAAAGTGATTCGGTGTAATTTTCAAAGATGACCATGATATGCACAGCGTGCCTGATCTTTTAGATCTGTTTACTGACGCTTTTTTTTAAATTTTATTTTATTTTCTGTTTTTTACATCAAACTTCAAAAATCATAGAAAATTCATTTCTGGCCCAAAAATTATGAAAAAATTCACAAAAATATTTTGAAATATTCTCTTTCTGATTTTTATTTTTTCATGAATTTGTTTTCAGATTTGATATTTTTTATGATTTTTTCTTTGCTTTAACTTGTTTCTAATTGTTTAAAAATACTTTTTGGTATTTTTAAATTCTAAAAATATTCATTAAAATCATTTTCTTTATTTCTGACTTTCTGAAGAAAAAATTTAGAATTTTATTCTGAATTTTTTATTTCTTATCATTTTTACTTGCTTAAGTGATTTTAAATAATTCTAAAAAATACTTTTTTGTTTTAAAAAAAATTGCTAAAATTTTTGTAAATATATTTGAGATCACTTCTGACTTTTCTATGGTCTCTTTTAATTTTTCTTTAATGTTTTGAATATAGTTTGCTATTTTGCCTTTTATTTCTTTTTTAAAACAATTTAAAAATAATTTTTCTCATTTTATTTTGTTTATTAAATGCAATGTTATTTTTATATGTATTTTGTTTGATCTTGAACTATGGAATTTTAATCATGAGCTTCATTAACATCATTGGATCTTGGGTGTTGAGTTTAACTACACCAAAATGGATGAATGATTTTAATGATAGCTTGATTAATTTCTTTGGTTCAAATATGGAATTCAATTCTTATCCCCTCCCTCTTCATCTTATCTCCTTCTCACTTGTACTACATATTGTTGGAGAA